AGAGATGGAAAAGTTACCACGAGGGAAGCTCTAAATATCCACTCACTCACATTTATTTACAAAGCACTGGACAGAAAAAAAATGGGATGAGTTTTATTTTTTTTATATACTCCACTGAAATCTACAGCAGCATCCCAGCTTTGGCTCCTGTGCCTTCCTTGTGAACCACAATAAAAAAAATCACTGGACAGCCCCAAATTTGTGTGGAAAAAAACCAGAAAAGTTTTATGTGGAGCTGAGGAGGGCCTGGGATAAATCCTGGAAGAGAAAGGGAAGGAAATTCCTGCTCTGGGATCAACAGCACAGGAAGAAATTGGATTTATTGGATTTTTCAGGTTGATGTGGAGTGAGTTGAGGTCTGGCCATTAAATACACAACAATAAAAACACCAGGATTTTGGTGAATATGGGCATAAAACAACATTTTCTGCAGCTAAAATGTGACTTGCCACGGATTTACTGGGAAGAAAAAAAAAAAAAAATCTCAGGAAAAGTCAAATCAGACCAAAAAAAAAAAAAAAACAACAAAACTGCTCAATATAATCCAGGCAATGAATAAATGAAAATTTTGATCCTCCAGGACGAGGCAGGACCAGAGCCTGGTGCACGTTTGGGACACTGAGCAGTCCAGCAGTATTGCTAAAGGGATGAAATTTTTATTTCATTCGATTCTTTAAACATATTTATATATTTATATACTGCTCAAAGTTCCACTGGAAATGCACTTTTAGCAGCAGCAGCAGCAGTGCAGATTTCTCCCCATCCAGCTGAGATTTTTCACTCCACCTTCAGGACAGGGACTTTTTAATTTTTCTGTTTCTGTCCAAGAATTTGCAGCTTTTTGCCTGAAATCGCTGGTTGAAAGAAGTTAATGATAATTAAATTTTTTTTTTTTTTTTTTTTTTTTTGCTGCTATAAAATGGACTTTTGTCATTTCTGATTTCTCCTTGATGGGGCTGCAGGTTCTTCTCTGTGGTGAAAAGACATAAAAACATTTTCCATGTGTCCATCCATCCATCCATCCATCCATTCATCCATGCTTGTAAAACTCTGTGAAAAATTAAAATCTAGTGCACACCACTTGGAGTGCTCCATCACAAAGGGCACTTTTAAAAACAAACAAACAAACAAACAAACAAAAATTAGCTCCAAGAAGTTAAAAATTGATTTTTTCTATGGAAACAAGTGCCTGCCTCCATCTCGTGAAGGGAAATTGGGATCTGTTCTTTTCCCAGCTGCAAATTCCCTTGCTCTGCAGGAATTACTTGAAAAAATGTGATTTTTCATGGTCAGATCTGCTCATTCTGTATTTTTTTTTTTTCCTGAAAGTGCAGACAGAATGATTTTAGGAAGGAATTAAAAAAAAAAACCAAAAAAGCACATTCTGGTGTGGAGACTGCAGAGCATCCAGAGCCCCCACGTGAAAGGAGATTTGGGTTCCTCATCTCCCACATCCTTGTTTTCCATCACAGCAATATTTCTGAACTTTTTTTTTTTTTTTTTGATTCACAAAATCTTTCTAGAGTTGCATTTTGAACCCATCATTCAACATTTTATCCACTTTATTCGTTGTATAATTGCAAAATTCCCCTGCAGTGCCCAGCGTGGGTCACTTTCTTGGTGGAAAGGTGATGGTTTGTCTCTAAATCCTTAAAAAAAAAATTAAAAAAAAAAAAAAAAAGAGAAAAATCGACTTGAAATGTTCTCAAAATCACAAACTCTGGGTCCACGAGGAGCTTTGTGATTGCTCAGAGTCTGAACTGAAATGGATTTAACAGCAAAGCCTTTCCTTCACCCTGTGCCCTGGGACACAGCCAGGGACAGGGATCCCAGCTCTGCCGTGGAAATTTGGGAATTCCTGGCTGCTGCTTCTGTCCCCAGCCAGAGCTGGGAGCTCAGGAGAGCAGGGATTTGTCACCTGCAATAAACCCGAGCTCCACACAGACCTGGAGGCTCCTTCTTCCCTTGAAGCACAGAATTCTTTATAAAATTCCAGCCTTGGGTTGGGAAGGACCATAAATCCCATCCAGTGCCATCCTGGGTGCTCCAGCATGGAAAATTTTGTCAATAATTGGTTTATAATGAGCTTGTTTGGTGCTTTTTTTTTTTTTTTTTTTTTTGATGGAATTGGGAATTTTTTTTTTTTTTTCCATCTTCAGCCTCTGGGTTGGTGCTGTGGGGGCAGTGCTCTGATTTCCATGCAAAGGCGTGGCCAGGAAATCCATCCTTAGCTGGAGTGGGTGAGGAGAACGTCTCAAATGAGAATTAAGGTTAAAAAGTGCTTTTGGTGCTTCCTTGGAGCATCCAGGGGAAGAAGGAATCTCATCCAGAGTGATTTTGTTCACTGAAAGGAGGAGAAAAGCAAATTTGTGTGTCCAGAGGAGCCATCCCCACCTGCAGGAAAAACCTTGCTGTGCCAGAATTCTCCTTGAAGTGATGAAATGGGCAGGGAAAATTCTTCACCTGCAGGTTTTGGAGAGGGGTTTTACCTGATCATGGAATCAGGGAGTCCTGGAATGATTGGGAGGGAATTAAATCCCATCCAGTCCTGGGCAGGGACACCTTCCACTGTGCCAGGCTGCTCCAACCCAGTCCTGGCCTTGGACACTTCCAGGGATCCATCCTGAGCCCATGCAAGGAGGCTCTGCCTCTGAAATCAGGAATTCCCAAAGAATTTTGCCCAGACTTTTGTTCCTTCATTTCTTTCCCCCATCTCTCCTTTGCTCCCAGAATCCTCACGAGTCCAAATTCCAAATTCCAAGAGTCGAGGTCACACCCAGAGCCCAGCCCTTGTCCTGCACTCCCCACGGGGATATTCCAGGTGGGAATGCTGATGGATGAGAACCCCCCCAGAGGGAAAATTCCAACATTTTAGCAGCTCCTAGGAGGTATCAGCAGCAAGTGATTGTCCAGAGGTGAAGACAAGGCGTGGAAAACTTCCCTGTCCTTAAGGCTCCTTCTAAACCCAAACCCTTTTGGTGTGTTCAGAAGGTTCTGTGGGGCAGCCACTCCCTCCAGAGTGCCACGTTCACCAGGATGGGACAAACCAGGGAGAAAAAAAAAAACGGGAAAAACCAGGAAAAAAACCAAGAGGAACCCTTGGGATGACAGAGTCACAGGGGAAGAGGTGGTGATGGAAGCTGGCAGTGCTGCCCTGGGCAGGAACTCCCTCACACTGGCTGTGGGAAGGAGGGAAAAGCTCTTTCCATTGCCTGGAGTTGTCATTCCCAGGGGTTGCAGCTTTTTTGGGATGTCCTGGATGATCCTGGGGTGCAGAAGGGCCTCTGTGCTGGCCAGCAGCAAGTGAAGGGTTTGTCATTTAAACCAAAAATAAATTTTCTTTCTGGGCTGGAGGATGCTCTTGGTTTACCACGAGGATACACAGTGAGGATTTGCACTGTGCCAATGCTGTCCACAGATCATTCCCAAAACACACCAGAACCTGGCCTGTAAAGTGCTGCTCTTGCTTCATTTTTTTGGGGGGGGGTTTGTTTGGGTTTTGTTCTTCTTTTTCATTTTTAAAAGAAATTTATTTCCAAAAGGTTGAAGGACTTTGCATCTCGGAGGCAGAAGAGGCAGCTCCAGGATTTCCAGGACTTGGAAGAAGGTGGTGGCAAGGTGTTGTCCCCAAAGGTCCTCGAGGTGGGTGAGTGCCAGGCTGCTCCTTCTCCTACTCCATTCCTCCGTGCTGCTCCCACTCAGGACATGCTGGGCAGAAAAAGAGAGACAGGAGGGATTTTCAGGCAGCAAACTGAGGTAAAAAATGTTATTATTGCCACCACACCAATAACAACAACAACAAAAAGAGTGAATTTGGGTGAAATCGTTCACAAAAGCGTGTTGGGGGACACGGGTGGTGGCAGAGGGGACAATCCTGGGGTGACACCAGGCTGGGGGATCCTGGGGGAATCACCCAGGCTTGGCTTTTCAGGGATCACAAATGCCATGGAACTGTCCCAGACACACAAAGAGCTCAAACCTGGTTTCCTGATCCTCTGCTGGGGGCACGGGCCTGCTGCAAAGAGAGGACAAAAGGACAAAATAAGGGAATGTCCAGCACAAACCAATCCCTCCCCTCTGTCCTGAGCTCCTGGCGATTTCTTGGAATAATTCAGCCTCATCCAGTGGATCTTTCCCTGTTCCCCTCAGGAATTCGAATAAGAAGAGAGGCTGTGTCAGTGGTCAGGGCCAAAACCAAGCCACATCATCCTAGTGAGGGATTTTATCTTCCAAACCCCTCCAGAATTTCCTTTCCCTGCAGTTCCAGCCTTTTTATCTCCTGAACTCTCTGGCAATGTCCTGTTGGATCCCGAGGGGGTTTTGGGGTTGTTCTCAGCCCCAAAGACAAGGAAAGGATAAACCAAGGATAAACCAATCCTTACCTTTCCCTCTCAGCCATGTCTTGTTTCTCCTCTGCCCTGTAAACACAAATCCCAGTGGGAATCATCCCCCAGTGGGAAGGGGGGAGACTCCAGAGCCTCTCTGGGGTGATGGATGAGCCTCGGACAGGAGCCACTCTCCATCCCACCCCTCCCCAAATTCATCTCACCTTTCTTTCCTGGCCTTGATTCTCTCCTCTTCATACCTGCAACGAGCACAAAACATCCTTTAAACTGCTGATCACTTTTAGTCACATTCAGTGTTTGCTCTGAGGGGGACAGGAGCTCCAAGCTGCCACAGTCTGAGGCTCTTCCTCGGCTGAGACCACGTTTGCTGCAGGCTCTGCCTTCCCAATCCCTGGGTTTTGACTCCATCCCACACAGGATTCTGTGCTGGCCCTCCCCAGAGCCCCAGGCTCCCTCTGGCACTCACTGCAGGACACAGTCTGGGATCTGCACGTGCTCCATGGGGATGAGCTGCTCCAGTTCCTCCAGGCTGTGGACGTACTGGATCTTATTGATAAACTTCACACTGGCACAGAGAGAGAGAGAGAGAGAGAGAGCAGTGACACCCCAGTGGCTCCTAAAAACACCCCTGGAATTGTCATTGGAACTCTCAGAGGGATGTAGGACAAGTGACAGCTTC